TATTATATTAAAGACAGAAATAAATAAAAAAAAATAATAATAGATAAAGAATTAATAAACATTTTCAGAATATGGATATATGTATAACAATTTAAGCACATTTTATATATACTTTTTCTTAGAATTGTGAAATATTTTATGAATGTTCCTTATTTATTATTTGTATTTTTATACCCTGCTTTTTTTTATATATACATATATTTTTAATTTAACTCGGCCATTTTTAAATTTCTGACAAGCTTCCCTTCGCTTTTCAGAAAACGCTTAAAATTGTCACATTGTATTTAAAAAAGAAAACACAGTCTGGCAACGCTGTTCGCTTCAATTCACATGGCGTATAATGAATACGCTCGGTCTTAAGCATTTTGCAATCAATTTAGATTTACATTTGCTGCACTGCGCCGTGAATGCGGAGACTCAGACCAGTTGAGATGCCGATTTCGGTAACCAAATCAACAAAAACAACAACAACAGCGGCAGCAGCTAGCAACAGCAAGAAGAAGAAGAAGCAGAGGGAGAAGTCAAGCGGAGAGCTCTGGCAAAGAAAGTCGCGCAGCTGAGCTCAGCCATGCTGAGAGAGTTGAATATTTGTAATTGTCGTATGGCTGGACAGTCGGACTTGTTTGTTTGTTTATTGTTGTTGTTGCTTTTTGGGCTTTATTAATAATTAATCGCACAGGCACAGCCACAGACACAGACACAGGCACAGGCACACGCACAGACACACAGCTACATACATAGTAGAGGCAGAGCCGCACACACATGCAAATCGCTGCTTGGTTTTAATTACTCAACTTAAATGGCGCTTGAGCTTGAGCGATTTAAACAAGTTGTATGTGTGTGTGTGTGTGTGTGTTTGTGTGTGTCGATCGACTCTCACTACTACGCGCTCAAACTAAGTAACTAACTAGCTCGACACAGCTGCTGCTGCTGTCGCCGCCGCTGCTGCTGCTGCTGCTGCTGCTGCTGCTGTCTCTGTGACTCTGCGGCTCTGTGCCGCCTGTTTGCCTTGCCCGGCCGCTTTGGACGCTCATTCAGTTTTTTGCGCTCAGCGCTCGTTGTACGGAACCGAAAGATTCGTCGTTGTCGCCAACTCGAAAGCTCGATCAAAAAATAATTTATATATATATATATATATGTGTGTGTGTATATATGCATATGTATATATAAAAACATAAAAAAAATTTACAATTTACAACAAGCTGCGGCGGCAGCTTGTCATAACTTGATCTAACTCGTTAAGGCAGACCCAGCACATAAATCTGCATATCTGGCCAACGTCTATATAGATACACACACACACATGTGTACATAGATAGATGTGTGTGTATATAAATTTAAACCTCTTTTTTTTTGGGCTGTAATATTTCGCTTGCTGTAAATAAAGTTAAAGCTGTGCAGCAGCAACAACAACAACAACAACAACAACAGCAGCAGCAGCCGCAGTCACAGCCCCAGCAGCAGCAGCAGCAGCAGCAGCAGCTATTGTAGATAGCAGCTGAGCTCAAGAACTGTAAACAACTTCCAAGACTCGAAAGCTCCCTCGACCCCGACCACGCCCCACCAGCCCGCGCCTCCTCGCCTCGCCTCGTCGCCGCGTCGCGTTAGTTCCGCGATTGTGAGCGTCGCTCAATGCCGATACCGATAACGATAGCGCAATCGATTACTCTGCGCGTGTGTGTATTAATGTGTGTTTGTGTGTGTGTGTGCAGCCCTCTGCCATTAGCCATTTGAGCCAAAAAGCCCACTGTGCAGGCAACATGTGAAGTGCAAGTGTTGTAGAAATATTAAGCATGCATTGATAGCAGATATGTATATGTATATGTGTGCATCTATAGCATATATCTGCAGCAGTTTCGGAGCAGTTATCGATAACAGCATTCTATGCGCATGTGTGTCCAGCCGAATATAATGTATGCAACGTTCGTGAATTGCCAGAATTGGTTGTTGTTGCACTTGCAGCCAAAGGATTTGTGGATTTTGAAGCGTTTCTAAGACGTGCAGCAGGTGCACCAGGTAAGATCGCACTCTCTACATAGCTGTGTATTATATATTATTATCGTGCGGTATGTGTATATCATATATTTGTATTATATTGCCAAGCTGCTTGTATATCTGTATAATGCGCATACGACATGGTGGCTGCGTATCTAATTTGCATATCCATCTTACGTTAGGTGAAACCCTTGACTTTTCATTTCGTGAACAAAGAAACAGCTGTTGCAATGTTTAGCAAACGTTTTAATCTTTTACGGAGCATCAGCTCAGCGTAGAGCATTCGAAACGAGCTAAGAATTTTGCCAAAGCTTTGATTTATGCCAAAAAATCGGACTTCTTACCCACAGTGCAAAAGTCTGTAGGAAAAGTGTTTAACATTTGTTCCGATTTACTAAGATTTATTGTCAGTGCCTAGAACTGGTTTTCTGTTACTTTCTACAACAACTATATATGTGAATATATACAATCGTATTATATATATTCATATAAAATATTGCATATTATCATATATGCATGTATGGATGTACATATTTTTATTTGGTGTTTGATATATTTATTTTAGTTCTTAGGATTTCTATAAAGTCAGATTCAAGGCTGAGCATCATCATATTTTTTTGTTTGTTTGAATCTGCAATTATTTGAAAATCTAGTTGCTTGTCTTTTCTATATTAAATATTATGTATATTATGCAAGCAAGATACTAAAATATTTTTTTCCATTATTTATAAAGCAAAATAAAAAAACTTTTAGTTTTCTTTAAAATTGACATTTAATTTTTTTTTTTTTAATATATTATAATTTCTTATTATAGATAAA